CCAAATTAATAATGTGGACATATGTTGGTGAACATGTTGTTGGATAGACCCAACATGAGACACTGCAAGAGCCATATGTGTTGTGTCATCAGTGATCTCATTGAGTGTTAGTGTTGAATCCTTAGACCTGAGATTATCATGGTTCTCAACATGTGTAGTAGCTTACTTAGGGACTGCTAAACGCTACTCCGTAATTGGGTAGTTATAAAAGTAGTTTTCGGGTATGCTATGAAACATGTAGTGGGATATGAATAATCAAAATGGGATTTGCCCCTCCTATGGAGAGATATCTCTGGGCCTCTCGATGTTGTAGATTATGAAAGTGCATGGCCATGCCAAAGGTGATTGAGGAGTCAATCACAAGTTATATAATCTATCAATAGGTTCGAGTGAATGATTGAGCTATTAGAGGATGGCACATTTCTAGCCTTGAGCTTAATCGATATCGTGAGGCAAAGGGGTTCATACAAGTATACACTAGAGGTTCAGCCGATATGATCTTTATGTATGCCCGGTGGGTCAATACGTTCTGCTAGGGGCCTCTGTTGACGCGTTGACCGAAAAGGAGTTTTCGGGTTACAGCCGAGTATATATGAACCTACAGGGTCGCACGCTTAATGGGCCAGAATAAGGGGATTGGATAGAGATCCAATATGAGCTTAATTCGGATAGGGATCCGAATAGGAGTCCTACTGGCCTTGGAGGCCCGAGTGATGGATCCTATATATTCGTGAGGGGTGTGACCGGCGGAGGCATTGCATCACATGAGAAACCCTAGCCGTCACTTCCCTCCCCGAGCAAAACCCTAGCCGCGCGCGGGTGCTAGAGGCGCCGCTGTACGTGTGGATACCGGTAGAGGCGCCGCTGTTTTGCGGTGCTGATCGGTGTGGCAGTACGGCGAGGAGAACGCACGAGGAGGACAAGGTCGAGCCGGTGCGATTGACTACTTCCTCTACATCGACGCGCGCTACTTCGCGAGAGTTCCTTCGACTTCTCAGCGTCTTCTTTTGCTGCACCGCGCGTCGAGTGGTAACAATCTATGATCTAATACTTGCATGGTTCCTGGTTTACGCGATAGAAAATTTTGATTTATGCTATCGTAGCCTACCCGTATCCCAACATGTCCGGCCGGGGAGCCTCGCAATGGTGATCTCTAGCGGTGGTGAGAAAGTGATCGCAAGGTGTTCGATGAAATGCATTCGAGGGAAAAAGGCAGAGAGGGATGGGGTATTTATGGGGGCTTGGCTTGGGGATAAGCCAGGATGGCGTGGAGGATAAGATCGGCGGCTGGCGCACTCGATGGCTGTCTACGGCCTAGGTTAGGGAGGTTGACGCGGCTAAGTTTCCTCCTCTCTCACTAACTCGGGGATTTGGGGATCCATGGAGTAATGGTGGCGCTAGGGTTGCAGGCCTCACAGCTAGATGGCTTGAGGAGAAGCCGTTTATCCGATGGGCACGACGAGGGACGATGTGACACGAGGAGATGGGTGAGAGGACAATGGTGACGAAGAGGCAACGTGGTGGCCGTTATCCGTCGTGGCGACGCGACGGCGACGGGATGGCGATGGCGCAGCTCCGTGTTTCCTGGAGGGAATCTGGGAGATCGGTTGGAGGTGCGGCACGGGCGTGGCTGGCGCTGGCGGATGCGGCGCATGGGCATGGTAGCGGTGAGACGCGATTTAGGGAATGGCGCGGCGCAGAGGGATGGATGCGGCGCGGTCGGTTTGGGGCCAGACCCAAATCGAGCATATGGTGGGCAATGAATAGTTCTAGCTAGAAAAAGAGAGAAAAGAGAGAAAAAGGAAAAAGGAGGGGGAGGGGCTAATATGCAAAAGTGGCTGAGATTGGAATTGAATTGAGATGTAACATTATACATTTTTTATTTGAATATTTCATTTAAATATTTATTCATTTATTTGATTATTTGTTACACCCCAACTGAATTTACTTCGCCCAAAATTATCCTATATACCATGGATGCTTTGATATTTATAGGAATCACTGCACATTGGTTGAATTTATTTGTATAGCAATGTATTTTACATGGACATGTTTAATCTATTATTCCATAAAAGTAAATTGAGACTTGGTACCATATTGATCTAAATGTTTAGTTAAACACTCACATAAATGTATTTTATATATAAAGCTCAATTCATTTACATGATCAATTATTTTATGCGAGTCAATTTTATTCCATGAGAGACTCGATGAATGTTATAAATATTAATTTAATTATTCTAGTGGAACACTCCTATATATACAGAGTCATTGTAGTGGCGACTATTTCATGGTTACTTAGATGTCATGACACTTGTCACATGGTTCCAATATTTAATATTTAACCTATAAATTAAATTAGTAATTAACCTTCTCTTTGTATTGCTTTGTTGTGTGTAAATATTTAATAATAAATATCTTAATTTTATAAGTATTACTTAGTTGTACAGCTTTAGCTAAATTTTCAATTGTGACAATTTATAGTTTGGCAAGCAATAACAACCATAACATCCAGCATGATGCAAAAGTTTTAAAAAGTTCAAAATTTTAGTGATTTTTATTGTCGTGAATTTTCAGGATGTTACACAAATGAACACCTTAATCTTCATGACACACTTTGTCTTCTAGATCCATCTAAAAGGCCTTGAGGGTTGCATGGCAGCAAAGTTCAACTTGTAAAAACTTTTAGAAGTATAGCATGCTTTATTCTAGATGAAGCTCCAAATTATCCCCAAATTGTCCAGACAAAGTCAAGGCATCAAGCTCCTCTCTGAGTTCTAAGAATTCCCCATAAGAATCATAAGTTAAAGGCAACTTAAAACAATCCTCAAAAAGCTTGGCAAAGATAACTGCAACTGATTCATTCCTATCAAAAACATGAGCACAAATATGAGTATGGGAAACACTTCTCACTCGGCCATTCCAAAGATCATCCCAATATAGAACAGATGTTCCAGAAACTAGATCACATTTAGCAATTCCTCTGAAGAAGTCAGAGAGAGCAATTATATCCCTCCACCAAAAAGAGCCCTTATTAAAGATCTGATGAGGAGTTTTTGACTGATAATAAGACCTTCATATTAACTTCACCCATGGAAGATTAAACTATTTAATTAGGTCATATGTTAATTATATATGATTATTAAATGTAATAGGAATTTTAAACTATTTAAATAGGTCATATGTTAATATGTGATTATTGAAATGTATTAGGAATTTTAAACTATTTAAAATACGACATATGTTAATTATATGTGATTATTGAAATGTATTAGGAATTTTAAACTATTTAAATTGTTTTCTCATAAAATTTGTGGTTTTATTACATGTTTAATGGATTACTTATTATTGTTTTAAATCTATATTTAATGAAATTAATTTGGCCCGTTTAAGTTTGTAAGCACTAAAATGTACAAATGTTCAAATATTAGTCCCGGTTATTAACCTTAGCTGGGACTAAAGATAAAATTTCGGAATAGCGAGAAAATATGTTTTGTCCCGGTTTATATCTTTAGTCCCAGTTAGAACCACGAACCGGGACTAAAGATCCCGGACTATAAATATGGGTCCATCGGCTTCCCCGTGCACAACACTTAGCAGTTTCTCGATCTCAATCTCGGTTGCGCGCCATCTCCGCCGAGTACACTGCCGCCCGAGCCGCTGCCACCGCTGCCATCGTCATTGTTGCAGCAGCTGACCTACGCCGCTCTCACCATCGTCGCCTCCCTCAAGGTGTGGGCGCCACCGGATCCCGCTGTCCCACTCTCTCTCTCCCTCCCTCTCTCTCTTTCTCGGCCCGGACGACGGCCACAATAACCACAAGCGCCGCCGTCATCATCATCGTTGTCGCCATCTCCCGCTGCCCCCGCCGCGCTCCACCGCCGCTGCTGCCGACGCCGACGTCACTGGTGCCGCCACGCGGGCAACCACTGCCTCTGCACTACTGATGCTGACGCCGCTGACGCCGCTGCTATTGATGTTGCCGCCACTGTCGCCACCACGGCCGACGCCGAGGGCTGCAACTGCCGGGACTACGAACAATGAACGACCGAATGCAAATGAACGCATGAACATGAACGAACGAACCACGAACGTACATGAGTGTTAGAACAACAAATGAACAAATGAACGTAAGCGAATGAACGAACGCACGCGAACGAACGGTCGAACGCAGGCAAATGAACAAACAAGTTTCACGAGTTAGCAACTTCAACGAGTTTAACGGCTTAGCGAGTTTAACGAATGAATTAACGAACGAAGGAGTTTCATGAGTTTAATGACTTAGCGAGTTTCACGGACGCGAATGAACGATTTACATGAGTTGCTTAACGACTTAGCGACTTCACGAGCTTAACGACTTAGCGTGTTTCACGTGCTTAACGACTTAGCAACTTCATGAGCTTAACAAATTAGCGAGTTTCACGACTTGAGTCACTACCTCTCACATAACGATGTATATATGTTTATGTTTTGAATTTAGACTTGGGACCATTGTATATGTATATGTACATGTTTTAACTTAATTTTTTTCCTACTCATAATTACGTGGTCCAGCTGCTGGCCGCCGCCATCGCTCAAGCATAAGTGGTCCCAAGACCTCCAAGCAAAATAAAGGCAAATTTACATGAATTCCCTGAATTTAATATGTACATGTAGGTGTCATATTTCTTAATTAGATAGCTAGGTGAAATTCCATTAGTTGTGGTTCGTAGTTCTCCGTAGTTGATGTGTACTACTTACACTACACCACGACATACATATGTTGTCTCAGAATCTGTCGGCAAAACACCCATGTGCTGACAAACTATCTGTCAGTATAGGTTTTCCCGACAGAGAAGGTCTGTCAGGACAACTGCTGCCGGGAAAAGTATTTCCCGACAGATAATCTTTTCCCAACAGACCGATTGATGGTACTACAAAAGAATTACCGACAGACACTTTTTAGCGACAGATGACCCTTTTCCGACAGTTAATGGAATGCCGACAGATAAGTTTTTACAAAGAGATTGTTGAATACACTCATAAGGTTCTTATATTTCCTACCGACAACAAGTACAATTTTTGAAGACACGCTCGATAGCTCCATTGAAAACAGAGGAACCTTGCTGAAATCATGTCATTCATGTTCCCTATTATTGCATCCTGTAATTACAGTTGATGTCTTTGCATTTATATTATCAGTGTCATACTGTAATACGTTTCTCTAAGTTCGATCAAAAGCTACTTCTAACTTCTAAGTTCATAGCTACGGTTAACTTTTGCATTCCAATTATGACATGAACCTAGAATAGTGAGTCAGAATGGTCTAAAAAATAGCACGAGGGTACCATTTGATTTTTTTTATGCAAAAAATAATGCAATAACATGCTAGAATAGTGAGTCACGTTGTTGGCTAGCTGGTTGTAAAAAATGATGTTGCATATTAACTTTGTACAGTTTACCTCAGGAGTAGCAAGATAGAACTATTAGATTAAATTGTCAATAGGATATGGCTGCAATTAGTTTTCAATCATGCCTCTTTAGCTCTATTGCAGTCCACACAGTTCGCATTTAGTGTTTGTAAGAAAAAAATCAAGAGCCAACCTCAATTTGTACATTCTCTCAGCCATTCATGCACGACAGATGAAAACAGTAGGTACGAAAAATAAAATACTGAAACATCGCAAAAGCATCACCATTCAACAGGGCAGCTAACCTGTATAGGCTTCACTGATCCAGAAGATCTTTTTACCTGACAATTATATGCTAGCTCAAGTTGTTCAGAAACATCTTCACGCAAGGGGATCCAATCAAGCCCTCCTTTGCGAGCAAACCAGTGGCCCCTCAAGACACGCCTGTTCTTCCCATTCCAGTACACAGGGAAGCAATGACGTCTCATTAAATCAACCTGCAATAGTGTATGTTCTTATAACAAAGACATATTCAATATCTAGCATCAGCTGCAACTAAGGAACCTTTTGGCCCTTCGCTGCATTTAGCGTACTCTCTCCACCAGTATGCAAGCATAGCTTCCTCCCTCTACAAACCAGTAAACCAGTATTGTGATCTCGAAGACAAGTGGTTTAAAAAGACTGAGATGACATTATCCCCTTGTATTGTAGAGGGACTAGCACAACTCTCTTGGAACTAGATTGTCTAGTAATATCGCTTTTCAAGTGGATTGTTTTTATCACTGTTAGAACAGTCCAGTTTTCACATAAATGAGTATACACTTAAGGCGGCATTGGTGTTAAAAAAGATAACCTCCAAGAACGACGCCTCCAATGCAAGAGAATCTCTCATGCTGAACCGGAAGTAGTCCCCTTTTTCCCATTATCTCTGTCTGTGGAACTGAAGCAGAGAGCATCACGTCAACAGCGAACCGCACAAAACATAAGATCAGTAATACGTTTACCACACACTTCATAATTTTAAAGTCCAAACCGATGATCAATTTAATTGAGCACAGCAGTTCTGAAGTATGAAGACATGCCACGGTCAAATATGAATCTAATGTAAATGGGCGTTGCTTCGAGTTGCAAGTTCAATCAGCGAATTCATTAGCGCACGCATGTGAACGCCTCTCTAAATCACAGTACCCTATCAATTAGTATATTCAAATCAGCAACAGTCTCACATGAAACCTACATTCTAGCTACCACAAGTGACTGAAGCGGTCGGTTAAACTGGTGGTACTGGATGTAGCATTCTGAAGCAGGAGAGCCCGAGGGCCAACACACGGTGAGCGGATGCAGAAGGCGGGGGGGGGGGGGGGGGGTGCCCCTTGCAGGAGTACCAGCGGACATCCTCGCCGTCGGAGGGGCTCTTGGTGCGGGCGAGGTACTTGCGGCGCGCGGCGCAGTGCTCGATGGCGTCCTCCAGCCTGGCGATGTTGGAGGGCGTGTTCCGCAGCGAGTCCGGCGACGCGCCGCCATCCGCGCCTCCGGGGGCCACCTGGCTTGTAACTTTTGCATTCGATCAGACCAACCACTACCCGTACCGGCAACACCTTGGAAGCCATGAACCTAGGGTTTGGAGTTGGGGATTTACCTCGTAGAGGCTCTTGCTCTCTGCGGCGGCCGGCGCGGGCTCCTCCTCGCCGCCGCCGCCGCCGTCGCCGTCGCGGGAAACCCTAGCCCTCCTCTTGCAGCCCATCTGGTGGAAGCGGTAGTGGAGGCGGCGTGAGGTGGTGGATTTGGCGGAGAAGTGATGGCGTGAGGTGGTAGATTTGGCGGAGAAGTGGCGGCATGCCGCGGCGGAGGAGGAGGAGAAGGAGGCCGCGCGCCGCGGCGATGGATTTGGCGGAGAAGTGGCGGCGCGCCGCGGTGGAGGAGAAGGAGGCGTGCGGTGGAAAGCGAAGAAGTGGCGGCGCGCGGAGGAAAGGGGACGAAGTGGAACAGCGCCTAGGGTTTTTTTTGGCGTGGATTTTCTTTTCAGAGTGATTTTTTTTGGCGGTTCTTTTTTTATTTTTCCGCCCGAGCCGGCCGAGCGATCACCTCGCTTTATCCGAACCGTGGGATCAAGATCCGACGGACGAAACATTGCTGACAGATGGATTATTGATAAGTTTTCCCCACATATAATTGGTTTCTACTCTTAATATTGCTGACAGTTATTTTGACCCAATAAATATTTGGAATTGCTGACATATAATATGTCTTATTATGTAGTATTGCCGACATATAATTTGCCAAAAGCCTTTACCAACAAATAGTCTATCAATTATTGTTTATCTTTACCGACAGATGTCTGTTGGTAACATAGTGTCATGGTGTAGTGTTAATAGGACATTTTTTTTGGTACTTCTAGAATTATCGTATTCCTTCAGCTCGAATACCAACAGAAATAAAAATATGAAGTTAAAAAAACACATTTCCCGTAAAGTAAAATAAAGGATTTTGCTTACTTATATTTTCGTGATACGAACAACTGGCAGATCGCGATGACGAATAGATCCTCAATGACTAGATCGCAGAGGGCAGAGGTCAGTATTGGATGGATAAGGAGGGGAACGAGGACCCCAACGAAGAGGGCAACCAGGATGGCAACATGGAGGGAAACGAGGAGGGAACTGACAGGCAACGAGGTGCTGCGAGGAAGCTGGAGGGCAGACACATTATTGCTGATGTTGCCCCAAACGGCGAACCAGTAGCCCCGGCTGGTATACTAAGGAAGTTTGTGGGACTCAGTGGTTGGGTCGTGAGGGATCACGTGCCCATCAGCATAGTGTACTGGCGTCAAACAAGGTCATGTGGAGATGACCAAAGTTTTCTCCCAGATACGGAGAAAGAGATGCTGTGGACCACCATGCTCTAGACTTTCATGATCCCTGAGGCAGATTAGGCCAGAGTGAAAGAATGGACTATGAAGAAAATGGCCAAATAGTTCCAGAGCTACAAGTCATATATGTACAAGACATACATCGTGAAGGGCATAACACCTGATTTCGACGAGTTTACGAAGCTAATGGATCATTGGGATGCGTTTGTCGCATACAGGACAGGAGAGCGTGGAAGTGCAGATAGAAAAGAATAAAGCCAGTGCACCAGCTAGGGTTAGGGGGTTATAAGAAGACAATCCCCAAATAGGAAAAAATGGAAGCCGGATTGATAGAAAAAGATATCGTGCCGGCCACAACTAACTGGCTTGAATGATGAAAGAATTGGTACTATGCACATGGTGGATCGCTCATTCCCGTTGATGGCTCCCTGATATACGCAATGAGATTCGCGAATCAACAAGCCGACTTATAGATGCAGTGGATGGCTATGCTCGGGGAATAGGGAACATTCCGGCCCAACAGAGAGAAGGACGAGCTTATGCTCGCAATACATAATCCTGAGCATCCAGGACGAACGCGAGGCAAATGCATGGTTCCTTGGAAATAAGGATTTCAAGAGGACATCCGCACGTACAAGAGTCACATAAGGAGCATGAGAGATACCGAGGCTAAGATTATAGATCTTGAGTATAGAGCCTCGAACTACGATGCAAGGATTACAGAGAAGGTGTCAAGACAAGTGGACCAACTCCTGGCCGAACAGCGGGGACTTGATACACAACTGTCTATTATGCCCGTCATGGTGAGCACCTCAGGCAATCGCAGTAGCAGCTACGCCTCAACGGGGCAAGTAGGATCATAGAGCATGGAAGCAGTGCAAGCACATGATGAACCCCCCTGCCCCATTGATGAAATCACGCAGCGGATACCATGTGAGATGCATATTCCCATCAAGAATTTGTCAATCAAGGTATGCTCGTAGTTTTACGATATGAATTGTACATTCCGAAACTTGGTGCATAGGTTGATTACTAATTAACAACCTTGATTCTTGTGAAGGTGACGTCTGTCATGGCCATACCAACGGACCCTTCAGGGACATACCATCGCAGGCTAATTCCACCTGGATACACAAGGGTTGAAATTGAGCTAGTGGAATGCACCTTCGAGGATCTCGAGTTGGACATCCCCGGAGGAGACAGGGAGACGAAACTAGTAGACACAACCCACGAGATGTGACTTCCTATCTGGCCGGATCTAGATTCCGCTTCCCCCAACCACAGTGGGATTCTTCTTGCCAGGCTGGGGCTTCAGTTGGTACAGGTAGCAGAAGAAGGCAAAATGCGGGTAGATACCATAATACCCCTCGCACATGTAATTGAATATGGCAATCTGAAGAATGGAGTTGGGATTGAGATGATGGACATTGATGCCATGGAAGTGTAGCAGACCTTGGAAGAAATTGCCGGTCGGTAGCCCAAGTCTGAACTGGAAGAAGGGGAGGAAGACTACAATCTCATTGGTGTTTGGAGTGGGGAAATCTTCCTCGACGTCCTCCCACCAGTTGATGAGCGCTTGCAGGGGAGGTATCCCTCCGCCACCACCTTCTCCAGATTCCCCGCCATTACTGTAAACGGAGCCCAGGCAACAGTTTGGTTGAGGATTGGCACGAATTCCGCTGTTGACTGGGACATGGCAGAGGAGGAAGACGGAGAATGGCTGGAGGAGCGGAGAATCAAGGGGCTATTTTGTTGGATTTACCCTGAGAGCAAAACCCTAAATCGCCGGAAGCAAAGAGCAGTTGGGGATGAGCGAGGAAGACGAAGGGGCGTGCCAAATATCAAGGGAAGTGGGCAACGGCGCTCCCGCCGGGGGTATTTATATCTCTTGGTTTCCTAACAAGCTGGCCCATGGAGTTACCCTAATTTGGAAAATCGAGTCTGGTTTTCATCCCTGTCCAATAAGACGATGGATACCGGAAAACTTTACTCAGGTCCGGATGAGTGCCTCTATCTGCATGCTTTGGAAAGAGTACTTGGCCAGATTCGACTCCGTCACTTGACAAGTCTCGCTTCATATTCTTCATCAAGCAAAGTACTCGGGGGTACTATGGATATTACCGTACCTAGGTGGTACATGGAAGGCCTTTGGGTCATAACTCGGGGGTAGGTCATGGGCCTGGGCCCACGGGTTAGTAATGTAAATGGCAGGGATAGGAAATAAGGAAACCTATCCTGCCTGATCTACTCAGATGGCAGGTACCCCGATTATAAGGGATACCGCATCATACTTGCCACTGATCACCCTGTCATCATATAAAGGGCATCAGCAGGAACCCTAAGGGTCAATCACTCCTCGCATTCCGATACCGGACATAGATCCAATCACATACAATTGGACTAGGGTATTACCTTGCCTTGAGGACCTGAACCAGTATAAACATATGTGTCACCACTTCTTTCTTTGACCTTGCGCACCCTAAAAATTTCATTTCCGATCTTAGAAATCGACACTTGTTGATTTGTGAATCAACATCTGAATATCAAAAATTTACATGGTTAGATTATGTATGCTGAGTCGCTCAGTGACTCGTAAAGGGCGTAGTTGCAAACGAAAAGCTTGCATGTAAAAAGAATTGAATTAGAAATTAGATGTTCAAATCAAATAACAATTAAATAGTACTACCTTCTTTCATATTATAAGACTTTCGAGCATTACCCACATTCATATAAATGTTAATGAATCTAGACTGTCTAAATTCATTAACATCTATATGAATATGGGCAATGCTAGAAAGTCTTATAACCTTAAACGGAGGAAGTAGCAATTAGAGCTCACGTGTTGTTGTGTCGTTCATCACTGTCACGACCGGAAATAACCCAACGGGCGTTCCTTACGTGCGTGCATTATTCCTTGTCCCAGGAGGCAAGGTACACCAAAAGTTGATACAATTCAGAGTTTAACAAGCGGAAGCGTAAATAGTTAATTTATTACATGGGCAGCGAAGGCCCAGCACACACAAAGACAAACGGGAAACAGCGGAAGACTAGGGCGACGACCACAGGCACTTGACGGCAGGCACGAGCTAGACACCAAAGCCTTCATCTTCCAGGGGCTCCTCTTCTGGGTTTGGGAAAAATTGAGCAAGACTGAGTACAACCACCGTACTCAACAAGACACACCCACAAGTGCAGAATAATTGCTCAAAGCCATTTTGTAAGTATGGTCCTAGAGCTATACAATATTATTAAACAAGGCCGTGAACCCACACGAACCTGCCTTAACCCAAGGCCTACGATGATTCAGATCGAACTGGCAACCCGACCCTGGGTCCCAGCTCGTCCCAAGCCAACCCAGGCCAACCATTTCACATTTTAGTTGTTAAACAGGTTTTAAGAATTAAAACACTAACTTGGGTACATTGCTCGGCTTGCCCATAACCGAGGGCGCGGCTATTCGAATAGATTATACTCTGATCAGAGGTGTACATCTTTACCCACAAGACACCTCTTCCTCACGTGTAGCCACGTGCCACATACCACCACGGTATACGGACGGAAGACGTGACATAGTTTCCAACCCATCCTAGCCATAGACAAGAGTACCGACCCAATCCCACCTACGGCCGGAACCCCCGGGACAGGTAGGCAGGACTGAGCCCCTAGCAGCAGGACACCGGCCCTGTGCCATGACATCTCGACTACCGGGCCGCAGCTCGTGTAGCCTTCATTTGTCCTAGAGATGTCCATCGACCCCCGACTTCGTCCATCTCCATCCGTGTACTTTTGTTTATAACCAGACTGAGCCACAAACTAAGCCTTACCCACTAGACATGTGGAAGTACGGTAGTGCTTTGCAACAGAGGCCCGAAGACCGGTCCTTACACGGCCGAGATGCTACTATCAAAACCATGCACCCCGAGCCCAGCCTAAAACCATTTTGGGGATTTTGAATAGAGGGAGCGGTGTGAATCCAATTCCACAATAATTAAACCATTCCATAGTGTCCAGGTGATGAGAAAATTCCAAAGTCTAGAGTTGTAAAACCACCTAATGTTGCCTAATTAATCAGCGAAGCATCTACCTAAAATCATACTAGTGGTACCATGAGTAGAGTGTCCACTAGTTGGGGTTTTGTTTATTCTA